CCCCAAAACCCCAAACCCCCAAAACCCCAAAACCCCAAAACCCCTTCGTTAATAAATCAAATTGAAAATAATATAAAAATGGACCTAGCAGTTTCTGAGAACTGTAAATCATTCCCCTGGGGCTCAATGCTCATCTTCACTAACCAAGAAGTATTCGAAATTGGTGAAAATATCTATGGAACTCTATACATCAAACTTGATGAAGAGTTCCCCTTTAAGTGCAGTCTCCGGATGACCTATACAGTTCAGGAAAAACTTTCTTACACAGTCGAGGTGACAAAGAAAATTGGCATGAATATTAAAAAGAAATAAACAAATCTGAGCTGATAATGATGAAATATATTCCTATGGCCTCTGGCTGTTTACAGTCCCAATTTGTCTCAAAGCTGGCTTTCATACATTTAGATTTACGATCAAAATTCAAGAGGATGTTCCTCCCTCATTTTCGTATGATCGGAAAAGCGATACTGCATCTGTGAGACATAATTTAGTGGCTGAGCTCTTTGCAGTGAGTAAGACATACCGTCATTCCCTACCCCTAATTGTTCAGGAAAACAGTGATAAATTCTTGCCTCTCAATCCATACGAACTACCCAAAGATGTGGCTAAGGTAAAGAAAATTTGATGCTCAATAGGGTATAGTCCTGCTGAGCTTAGTTGAACTTTGGAGAAATTGTGCTATAAACCTTCTGAGACGATTCATATAAAATGTTTAATAAAATATTTTGAGCAAACCCCAAAAGTCAAAGAAATATCATGTAAATTAATTCAAAGAGTTGAATTTTACCTTGATGTAGTAAAAATAAAAGAAAGAGTACTCTTGGAAAGTTTTTACTCTCTTAATTTAATCAACAAGGAGTCTAGTTCAAAGTATGCTCATCGGGAAGAAGAAAATCTACTCTCTCTTGATCTTAACAAAGTAGAGGAGCATGGTGCAAGTGTAAACTCTCAGACTTATGATTTATATCACTTGGCATACACTCTCCCAAACTCTATTGATGACCCTATCATAAAATGCATTTATTTCGCTGAGATCTCACTAAACTACGACACATGCTTCAAAATGGACCCCACAGTGATCAGAGTCCAGATAGAAATCTTCCCAAAAAGTATATACGATGTAAAAGTATGCCCCATGATCCAAGAACAAAACATAAAAATCTAACTATTTTCAACCAATTCCATCTAACCCGGGGTTTTGGGGTTTTGGGGTTTTGGGGTTTTGGGG